AAGTCTGTAAATGTGCTACATATAATACCTGCCATTATCTCAATTTCACTGAAATTTCTATAATTGGTGTTACTGAACCAATTTAGAATCTAAAAATCACAATTATGATGTTGTGCTTTAGCATTACCACCAAAGGTACCAAAACAGGTTAGGATATTTTTATGATTGACTTTGGTTAAAAAAAAAATCATGATTTAGTAATTATGATCAGAATGTTAAAAATAAGGCCTTAGAGAAACAAAACCTTCTGGTTAAAAACAAAACTAAGCTCGGAGTGAGTGAAGAATCGTTTATTTATGGTTCTTGTGAGAGAACTGGGCAAACCTCTCAGAAGAGATTGGGACGATTACAGAAGCCAGAAAAAGTTTTATACTGCTAGAACACCTGGACTCCTCTTTTCCAGGCCCGGATTGGTCCGTTCCTTTCCAGGTTACAATCTTACACATCCACCCATCCCACATCCCCTCGACATACTCCCCCACCCCATCCCTCATCATCCAAAAGCCTTTGTCCTACTTAGGACTAGTTAAAACTGGTTCGGCCCTCTAGAACTTTGGGGTCTATTAAAAGATTAGGGCCCTTCTCATTGGCTTGCCCTTTCAAGGTTTTGTAAATGTGTTAAAACAATGTAACTTCTTTGCTGATATTGTAAGACGTCAAAGGTTATCTTATTGTGGGAGCATGATACTTTGTCCCTTACAAGAAGACAGAATATTCCTAGATTAAACGACTAACTGGAAGATGTTCATTGATTCAGCCATATCTATTGAACACTAGTATCCAGGAAATTTTGCAAACTAAGAATAATTACATAAAGGAAAGGGAAAATTTCAGAACTACTAAATCCCAGAGAGACCAATAGCAACTGGACCCTGATACAGTACCTTGCATCGAGTCTGGGAAGGTCACTGGATTTTACAATTATGTGATATCAGTTGGTATCCCTCCTCTAAAGTCTTATCCTTTTATCATTCTTCATTTGGAAGTGGAGGTGACTCAGGGTTCTTGCAGATTTTATCAAAGAAGCACAGTCTTTAAAAGACTCCCAACTCTTGGTGATAGACAAAGGTCTTTTATGTATGGACCAGCCTAATTAAATTCAGAGAGGCTCATCTCCAAAAGGTACATCACCAAGTATTTTTTGCTTGTTTGTTTGTTTGTTTTTTACCTAAAGCACAGATCTGATCATGTCACTTCTCTACTCAATAAACTCCAATGGCTCCCTATTGTTTCCAGAATCAAATACAAAATGCTCAGTTTGGCTCTTTATAACCTAACCCCCTCTAACCTAACCTCTCTCTTTTCAGTCTGGTTACACTTTATTCCCTACCACATACTCTTTGATTCAGTGACAGGGGCCTGCCTCCTTGTTGTTCCACGAACAAGACATTCTATGTCTTAGCTCCTGGTATTTTCTCTGGCTGTCTTCCATACTTGGAATGCTCCCCCTCCTGACTACTGACTTCCCTGGCTTTAAGTCTCAACTAAAATCCTATCTGTTACTGGAAGCCTTCCCCAAACTTTCTTATTTCTGGTGCCTACCTTTTTAATCATTTCCTATTTATCTTATATGTAGCTTGCTTTGTATATATTTGTTTGCATTTTCTCTCCCCCATTAGATTCTAAGCTCCTTGAGGGCAGAACTCTTTTGCCTCTTTTGTATCCCCATCACTTACCACTTAGATGGCACTTAATAAATGTTTACTGATTGACTGATTGATTAACAGAAGCTCATAAAGACCATCTACTAAGGCACCAAGGGAAGAAGCAGGTGATAATCTTGCTGTACTTGTACTTAGACCACATCTGGCTAATTATTTTCAGTTCTGGTCACCACATTTTAGAAAGAACAACGATAAACTGTAGAGTGTCTAGAGGAGGACAAGGAGGATGGTAAAGATCCTCTACTCCATTCCTTACAAGAATTAGTTGGAAAGGAACTAGGAGAGTATAACTTAGAGAAGGGAGGCCTGAAGGGAAGGAGGGAAATGAAAAGTATTTGAAAGCTTGTCGTGTGAGATACTAGATTTGTTCTGTTTGGCCTCAGAGAGCGGACCTAGAAGCAATTAGAATAAATTTGAAAGAAGTAAATTTAGGTTTAATGTAAGGAAAAACTTCCTAACAATTAGATATATCCAAAAATAGAACTTATGATGTAGCTGGTTCCCCCTTACTGGAGGTCTTCAAAGGCTAGATGACCACTGGTTGGGTCTGCTATAGTGGGGATTTTTGTCCTTGTTGTTGTTTTGGTTAGATCAGATCAATCTATAAATTAACAAGTATTTCGTTACCAAAAAATGGTGATTTTTTATAATTTCATTTGGTTGACAAACTTAGCACTGGCTATGGTTCCATTTACTAAACATCCTGTTAGATACCCTAGCTTGATTTCTTTATGTTGTTGTTGTTCAGTCATTCAATCATGTCCAGCTCTTTGTGACCCTGTGGATCAACTGTTCAAAAAGTTTTCTTGGCAAACACACCCAAGTGGTTTGCCCTGGGTCACACAGCAAGTAAGTTTCTGAGGTCATATTTGAGCTCTGGTCTTTCTGACTCTAGGCCCAGTGTTCTACCCACTGTGCCTCTTAGGGTTTCTTTATACCTTTGGTCTAATTGAATTGGAAATTGAAATACAGTGAAAGGCACAAAGCAAGAAACAATCCCGTATGTCCTACTCATCCGTGACATTTTACCCACCAAAAAAGGGTCAAATATAGTAAAAAACATTTTTACTGATTTATTTGAATAGCTTAAATTATAAAATCAGCATCTAAAGCAGGCTTGGATTATGAGATAACTCTAAAAGGATGAAGAGTTATGGGGATAAATGCAAAGGCCCACACAGGCTTAAAAAATCAAGTATACAACTATAGAATTGAGATGTAGCTAGACAGCAGTCATGTGACCACAGGGCTTTAGTGAAATGAAAGCTCATAAGAATTAATTCTGTGAAGTGGTAGGGCCAAAATGATCATCTTAGGCTTCTACATTAATATCTAATGTCCAGATTGAGAGGTCACAGTCCTGCTGTATTCTGCCCTAGTCAGACCACATCTGCCTTGGGTTTTGTGTTTAACTTAAGGTGCCACATTTTAGGAAGAGTTTTGATATGCTTGGGTGTGTACAGGGGGGTAAGGACAGGGACCGAAACTGTGATTTCAAGGGAACTTCCAAATGAGGAAATCCTGTCTACCATGCAGGTCAACCTCTTCCCTGCATGGGAAGTCTTAAGAGTTGTCTCCTGCACTAAGAGCTTAAATGAGTGGCCTAAGGTTGAATAGCCAATATGTGTCAGAGATGAGACAAAATATAAAGAGGACGAGGATTATGGTGAGGGTACAAAAAACCATTTGAAAGAACTGAAGATGTTTAGCCTACACAAGATTTAAAGAAGGGTCATATGAATTAAAATCAGAAGAGATCTTCATGATCATTTTCAGAAATACCACAGAGGACCTTAAACTTGAACACCCTTTAATTTTTCCGACCTGATGTGCAGGATGTTTCTGATCCTCACCTTTCATCCTATCCTTATTCTTATTATTTGAGGTTTGATGACGAATTGGTTAAAACTCTAGTTCTGGATGAAGGAGAAACAGCCAATAGAAAATATGAATAATCAAGAGCGTTGGTGCCTCCTTTCTGGGGTTCCAGTCTGCTTTTGAAGGGTCTGTCTCTTTCCTAGAACATGTATCATAGTTGCTCTGTTCTTTGCCCCTCAGTACCTCATCATCCTGCAAGATCCCCAGCCTTGGTGTTCCACCTCATCACTACATCCCATTGAAGGTCACTGGGGCCATGTACCCCAAACTCTTAAGAAGGGGGCTCAGCTGGAACCTGGCTGCACTATTTTAGGACTTCCCTAACTTCTCTACCATGGGTTGAATACCCTCCTGTCTCCTCCCCTCCCTCCCCCCTTCAGCTTCTTTTTGTGCGTGGTCTTCCCCCATTAGATTGTAAACTCCTTGAGGGCAAGGGTTATAAAACAATCCTAACACTATTCCTTCCAGCTCTGGAATTCTGTGTCTATTTCCTAGAGAGGATTGAAATCCTTTTAAGGTAAGAGTTGATGATTATTTAAGATCATTTGAGCCCCAATAAGGGCCAAAGCCTGAACAAATCAACCAGAAGAAGCACCCCAACATAACAGATGGGCTTTTTCTTTGTTCTCTGAGGGAACTCAAAATGCCCCTTCCTGTGTCAGCAACTGCAGGACCAGATGAAGCTGACCAGTATTCTCCTGTTTGTGACCATTTAGGGGCCTCAGACCCAGACACTACCTTGAATAATGGGGCTTTTCTTACCTTGATATCCTATGGACATATGTCATGTAGGGGAAACAGATATCCTGGGACTATAATTTCAATTGACCCTTTAATACTTCTCCTATCTTATTGCATTTACAACCTATTAAATTAAGAAAATTCCTTTCTCATGCTATGGTTAAACATATATGGAGACCATAAATCTGAATTATCACCTAGCTTGTTGCCTCTTTAACCAAACTTTCAGGTCGCCAGAGTCTATGTATACACAGCTGGAATAGGGCAAGCGGCTTAAATGGCTGATCACAGATCTGTGGCTGGACAGGCCCTCGGAAAGCTGTCTAGGCCATCTCCGTCCTTTTCAGGATGAAGCGGCATTAGATCCCAGGTCGCCTGGGTCGCTCTGACTCTAAAGCCAGAGCTTTCTTCCTTGGTCCCGCAGGTGACGTCCCCCCCCCCCCCCCTCACCCCAACCCCGTTTGTTTGCTCTAAAGGAGGGCAGGGCCCGAAGGTTTCCGGAAGGATGCATGACACGTCACTACAAGGTATGAGGTCAGATTAAACACCAGTGCAAAGCGAGGCTCACACAATCACAACGCCAACGTCTGCCCGAAGGGGGCGTCCTCCGGCCATGCCAAGACGTCAGGCACATGCGCATCGCCTAGCCACCTCCTTCTACTTCCAACCCCGGAAACCCGCCCTTCCTTCACCCATTCCCTCCCCGCCTCCCGCAACAATCTCTCAAGCTCTTCCCGCTGTGTCTGTAGCTGCCGGAAAATGCCACAATCCCAGAAACCACCGCGCGCCTCAGAACTTCCGGCCCCCTCGCTTCCGTTCCTGTCAGTCCGTTCGGCTTAGCAGGCAGCCCAGAGGGTAACGATGGCCGAGTTGGACATCGGAAAGCACTGCCAGGTGGAGCACTGCCGGCAGAAAGGTGATCCTGGAGGGTTTTAGGAAGCGGACGCCGCCTTCTGGGGACCTAGAGTAGTTGGAAAGGAAGGGAAGGGAAGGGGTCAGAGACGGAAGGCCGAGCTGAGTGGATGGGGGAGGGCCCATAGAGAGGGCGGGGCCTGGCCAGAGGGGCGGGGCTCGCCAGAGGGGAGGAGCTAGGCTGCCTTGTGGGCGGGGCTCGCCGGAGGGGCGGGGATACGCCGCGTGGGCTCCTGAGCCTCCCAGAAGTCTGTGGACCCCGTGCTCCGAAGCTAATGCTATAGCGTTCCGTGCTTCGTAGAAGCCTGCAGGTTTCTTGCAGCCAGGTCAGACCGAACTGCTCTTGTCCTTCCCAGTAGGCGTTTCTCTGTGTAAGCTGACTGCTGGGTTACATTACGTTGTTCCCATCTTTCCTTCAGTCAGTCAGACGAGGGCACTGTGGTGTAGCGAAAAGAACAGTGGCCTGCAATTCACCGTTTTTGGGTTACAGCTCCAGTTGTGACACTAATTGGCTGTTTGAAGTTGGATAAGTCGCTTCCTCCTCCTCTCTGGGCTTCAGTTTCCACGTCTGTAAAGTTAGAGGTGGGACTGGTAAGGGTCCTTAACCCTTTTTTGTGTCATGGACCCCCTTTGACAGCCCGGTAAAGCTTATGGACTTCTCAGAATCATGAGTTAAGTGCATAGAACAAAATATATAAGATTACAAAGGAAGCCAGTTATATTGAAAGAACCCTGGGCCAGATGATCTCTAGGGTCTTCTAAGTCACATTCTTTATGTCTATGCATGGGACCTGCTGAACATTTGTAGAGCTTTAGTAATTGGAAGTAGTAGGGCTAGGCCTGTGAGACCATGGGTCAATAGCATGTGGTGAGCAATTTGAATAACAAATACTCACATTTTTATAGTATATTTATCTATTTTAATGATATTTAGTGTTTCTGTAGTTACTTTAAGGTTTTAAAAAGCACTTTACAAATATAATTTCGGTTTATCCTCACAGCAACCCTGGGACGTAGGTGCTATTAAATCCCCATTTTACAGATGAGAAAATTGAGGCAGACAAGGTTAAGACAAGGTTACATAGCTTTATCCCTTTAAAATTACCATAACTCAAGCAGCTTTTGGTCCAGAAGAGACGATGACCTAAATATACTACATATTAAAATTTTGTTATCACAACACTGCCTGCTGAGGGATAGATTTCCTAGTTAGGGGAAGATTCACAACTGACTCATGCTGAATTCTTCACATTGCATTATCGTGAAGAGGTCTAAGTGAAGTGGTTTGATGAAAATCTTTGTCCCAGGAATCAGATCTTGTATTGATCCCAAATGATGAAAGCATCAAAGTTACAAAGAGCAACATACATTTTTGCCAGCCACAATCCTACTTTGATCTTCTTCGAGGAAATCACACTTATCAAGTACTAGGAGCCAGGTTTTTTTCCCCCACTTATAGGCATTTCTATATCTCTTATTCTATAGGTTAATCTAAAATCAAATCTATAGGTTAATCTAAAATTATCACTGTTTTTGAGTATCCATTTTCCTGTCTTTCCTAGGAGATTCTTCAAAGAATCACAGGATATTAAAAATGGAAGGGACCTTAGAGATCATCTGGCCCAACCCCCTCATTTGCCAGGTGAGGAATCTGAAGCCTGGAGAAGTTAAGTACCTAAGGTACCACAGCTAGTAAGTGGGAGAGCTGGGACCCTAAGTCCAGATCTTGGGAATTTACTGCTCTTTCCACTGTAGCATAGGACCTTTATACCATTTCGCCCTATTTGATATAACAATAACTATTAGCCACTAACTATAGACAACAGTAGCATTTAAATCCAGTCTACTTCTGCTCCCATTCCCATTTTACATAAAAGAACTATTTCAGCTAAGTGAGTTTTGATTTTATTGTGCTCGTTATGAGGCAGTTCCCTGAAATAGGCTAATTTGGCTGGGGATATGTGAATATTGATTTCTGTTCATTGATTTTTTGACTGTATGGTAACCAGCTAGTACTCTACTTTCTAATCAGTTAGCTACTGTAGGATGAGGTTTGTTGTTTTTTGGGTTTTTTTTGTAAATTTTTTTATTTTGCACTTACATACAAAATGAGAAAAGAAAAAAAAACATTGCCATGTACGCAGCAGACCATTAGAGAGGATTAAATATAAAACAATAAATTTTCATTTCAAGAAGACCTACATAATAAATACTACATATTGTTTTCAAAGCTGCCCAGCTTTTCTTTGCTTCCTTGTTGGTTTTCTTTTGTTCTCTGCTGTACACTTATTACTTTAGTTTTTTCCCCTTCTCCCCCCCCCCCAATGAAGGCTACAATTAAACGTGAATATATATGCATAGATATCTAGAAACACAGACATATAGGCACATATACACTCATACACATATATGTAAAACTGTATTATGCTTATTTCCTCCTATCATCTGTTTCTCTGAAGGTGGATAGCATCTTCCTTCATAAGTCTTCCTTCAAGTCTTTCAGTGTTTTTCCAAATCAACTAGTTCATCATTTCCTATGCCACATTTCTGGATTCAAATATCATCTTTGTTCATAGGATCTTTGAGTTTAATTTAAGTATTTATAATAACATGGTTGCTCAAAGTTGTTCTTAAAGCAATACTGCTGTTACTGTATATAGTGTAATCTTGGTTCTGCCCATTTTGCTATTTGTTACTTTGTAGAGGTCCCTCCATGCTTTTCTAAAATCATTGAGCTCATCATTTCTTGTGGCATGAACATATATCACAATTTGTTTAGCCATTCCCCAATTGACAGGCATCCCCACAGTTTCCAGTTGTCTGCCACCATGAAGAGAGCTACTATAAATATTTTCAAACATGTAGGTTCTTTTCCATTTCCCTTAATATTCTTGGGAAACAGACCTGATAGTGGTATGACTGGGTCAGAGGGTATAGGTGGTTTAATGACTCTTTGGGCGTAATTCCAAATTTCTCTCCGAAATGGTTAGATCAGCTCACATATCCACCAACAGTGAATTAAGATCCCAGTTTTTCCACATCTCTTTTAACATTTGTCCCTTTTATCATCTTAGCTAATCTGATAGGTATAATATGATATCTCAAGGTTGTTTTAATTTGCATTTCTCTAATCAATAATGATTTAGAGCATTTTTTCATGTGACTATAAATTATTTTGATTCTTTATGAGAAAATTGCCGTTTTACACCTCACAACACTATTGCTTGTTTGTTCATAAGTTGTTCACCTATCCACAAGTCTGATAGGCTGTATGTTCCATGTTCTTCAGATTTTCTTGTAATATCTCTTTTTATATCTAGGTCACGTATCCATTTTGACCTTATCTTGGTAAATAGTGTAAGATATTAGCCTGTGCCCAATTTCTGCCATACTACTTTCCAGCTTTCCCAACAATTTTTACCAAATAATGAATTCTTATACCAAGTTTTTGTATAAGTCTTTACTCTCGTCAAACACTGGGTAACTATATCTGTTTGCTGCTGTAGATCATATGTCTACTGTGTTCCACTAGTTTAACTTTTCTGTTAAGTAGTACCAAATAGTTTTGATAATTACTGCCTTATAACATAGTTAAGATCTGGTACTGCTAAACCTCCTTCCTTTACATTTTTTCCATTAGTTCCTTTGATATTCTTGACCTTTTGCTTTTCCAAGTGAATTGTGTTATTTTATCTAGCTCCTTAAAATAATTTTTTTGGTAATTGGGATGGCATTGAATTTATAGATTAATTTTGGTAAAATTGTCATTTTTATTATATTGGCCTTGCTTACCCGGATGAGGTCCTTTCAAATAAGTTTTAGCTTATTCTACCTCTCAAATGAAGTTCAGCAGTACATTCCTTTTGTGAATATATCTGAAGTTATTTGCCCATACTCTTAAATAAATATGAGGCACAGGAAAGGTATTTAAAGGAATTTCATGTTGTAGGCAGAGAAGTATGTCATTAATTGTCTATTGCATAATCTTGGAATAGACACTTTGTATGGAGTTACAAAAACTCATCTCATATCTCAGTTCATGAAGTAGTTATCAATATCAAGGAAACGTGTAATATCTATCCAAGATATATGTCCAAGAATCAACTCTATTAACTGCCCATCCAGCTCCATATCATTATCGGACAATAGGCAGAGAAGCATGGTGGCTTCTGGTAGCCGCCATCCGCCTTACTAGGAGCTGATGTGGAATCAAAGTTTTCATTGTTTCACTTGTAGGAGTAGTTATCTCAGCCTCTGCCCTACTGAGGGACAGGATCTGAAGGCCTTCTTGCTCAGAACCTACTATCCTGGAATCAACATCATCACCCAGCAGTTGTAGGAACTAACTTCAGCCACCACTTCTAGCTCAGGCAGGTATGGGCTTTGTTGACTCTGAGTTTCTTGTCCTTTACCTGCTTTTCTCTGGACTCTCCATCACTGTATTTGCTTAGAAGGTGAGGTTTGTGCAGTAGGCCTGATAAACTGTATTTGGAGGCTTATTTGCCCTATGACCTACTGCCTGGTTTACAGGCTGATCTCACCTTCACAAGGCAAGTCAGGGGCTTCTCTTGTCCTTATCCCAGGTCCCAGGGTCACTGCAGTTCCTTCTTCACTCTTTTTAAGGAGAGAACAGATGAATGTCAGCTTCAAGTATCATAGATATTTCATGGATATGGGAGCCCTGGTCAACTGGCACTGCCCTTGTCCTGTGACTAGTAAATTTTTACTTCTTCCTCTTGCATTAGCCCCTGTGATTCAGAGTTACCTTTGGCCAAGGCAAGCCCTACTCTTCCCTACCTCTCCACTCTTTCCTCTCCAGATCTACCTTTAATGTTCTTCACTTCATTGTGCCCTTTGGAACATCTTTTAATTACAATATTTCCTTCATCTTGACCTCTTCCTTTCACATTCTTTCCATCTGCATGCACTCAAAGAAAACTGACTCCCTCTAGACGACACTGCATTCCTGACCTGTCCTTACCATATATTTTTTCCTTTCCCCCACACTGAGCCAGAAGTAGGTACACTTCCTGTTCCTCATTGCCATTTCCAGACTCTTTCCCTACTGCTATCACTTAGCAGCATTTCATTTGAGATTTACTCCATCTGTCTCTTTGATACTATCAGTTTCATTGCTGTAGTCATCTAAAGGCCTTCAAATTTTTCTCTTTTTTAAAATTGCATGCCATAGCTTTTCATTTTAATTTTTATAATTTGTCACATATATATAATATATATGCTGTTTCTCTACCTGATAGCTCATTCAGAAATTACTACCAACCTTAGAAATCATTTCACTGACAAAATGTTATTTGGTGCCTATTTCGTTCATAAAGGTATTAATGAAACAAGTCAATAAGCATGTATTAAGCACGTACTATGTTGTAGGCACTGTACTAGGTGATAGGGATACTGAGAAAGGGGGAAAAAAAGTCTCTGCACTCAAAAAGCTCACAGTCTCATGGGGGAGACTACATGAAAGCAACTATGTCCAAACACTACACATAGGATAATTTGGAGATCATTTCGGAGGAAAGGCCCTAAGGATATGAAAGACTGGGAAGGGCTTCTTGCAGAAGGTAGCATTTTAGCAGAGACTTCTAGGAAGCCCGAAGAGGGAGGTGAGGGAGAGACTTCAAGCATGAGGCTTCTGGGTGGGCTCCAAGCTCTTTGCCTCTTGTTTCTTAGTTTTGTGCTACTTAATAAAGTGCGTTTGATGAGACTTTTCAGTAATTTTGTCAAGAATAGAAGTTAAGAATCCTGACCTATAGTTGGCAGACTCCATTTTCATCACTTTTTCTCTTAATCTCTAGTCTTGCAAAGATTACTGTTTGTTTCAGTCCAAAGGCCATTCCCCTTGGCAGAGAAAAAAAAAAAAACAAAATAAGTCAGGTAGTTCATCCTTGTCTCTAGTGTGCTGATCATCTCAGACTACAAAACAGCACTCCTAGCCCTTCACTAGTTCTCTTTTCCCTAATGTAACTCAAAACAAAACAAAAAAGCTTTTCATTATGCAGTTCTCAACCTCCACTCTGAGTTTCAGCATTCCTAGTGCCATTCTATTTCTGTCTTAGTATTCTTTCTGTGCTATACTTTTGTATTCATTCTTTTACCTGCCCTTGCTTTAACCTTCTCAGGTTTTTTTCCCCCCTGTACATCTTAGGTTTTTCATAACAATGTCTCTATGAAGTAGGTAAGAGACCCATAATTATTATTTCCATGTTATAACTGAGGCTTGTAGTATTTTGTTGAATTATCAGGAAAATCAGATCAGGAAATTAAAAAGCAGATCAGGAAATAAAACTTAGAACTTCTGACTTCTCATTCATCCTTCTTAGCACAAAAGATACATAATTCCTAATAATTCCAATTCCATTATCCTCCTCTCACAAATTTCATATGATTGTGTCATATGTAGCATGGTGTACCTGCAAAGAAATAGTACTTTTTTAAAAGTTTTCTTAAGAAAACAAAATAAAATCACATTCTGAGAATTAATATTTTTTCTTTTAATTTTAGATTTTCTTCCATTTGTGTGTGATGGATGTTCAGGAATATTCTGGTAAGGCATATTAGCAGTATCTTATATAAAATGGAGGATTAGTGTGAAGGTCTCTACCAGGCTATTTATTACTGAGAAAATGGAGACTGTTCTTGTTTTATGTACTAGTTATACTCTGTGGCTATTATTTAAGATTTATTATAATATTCTCTGAAATAAAACTTACTCATGGATGTGTACCACACATTAGAATCCTTTGCCATCCACATGTGAGGTTCGTTAAACACCAGTTAAATGTGTGAATTGCAGTCACACAGAGTCAGTGATAATTAATAGTCCTTACATTGAACAAGACTAATGGCCAGAGATGGGCAGTTTGTGATGATTGCTTATTAAGATCAGAACGAAACCTGGGCTAATCTCTCAAGTGGTATCAAGAACATATTTTAGAGTACAAAGCAAGGGGCAGCTAGGTGTTGCAGTGAAGAGCACTCTGCCCTTGGAGTCAGGAGTACCTGAGTTCAAATCCACCCTCAGACATAAAACACTCATTAGCTGTGTGACCCTGGGCAAGTCACTTAACCCCATTGCCTCATCAAAAAGTAAAAATAAAAAATAAAAATAAAATAAAAAAATAAAAATAGAGTACAAAGCAAAACTTGAGAATTGACTGAATATTTTGGAAAATATTTTCCAGTTATCACATTATGTAGTATTTAATAATATTGAGTAAAACTTTGAAAGAATTTAGTTTTCAGGAAATTCAGAAAGGATTATTAGAAGACAAAAAGCAATTTGGTGGACAGACTGTTTCCTAATGAAATTCCTTAATCTGTGATTGACATCAATGTAGAAGTAGCATACTGTGGTGAATGCTTTAGTAACTGAGTTTGATATTTTTCTATTAGTGCTATTTGAGAAATGACAGGAGTTAGAAGCTTTCTAATATTTGTGAACCATTCTTAACTGAGTGGTGTGAATGTTCATTTACCCCCATGCAATTTTCTGTCTGTGACTATATTCTAGATTTTTGGATCAAAGTATTAAAATGTAAAGGCAGAATATGTGCTAGTGCAGGCCTGCACAATCTGTGGCCTGCTAAAGGATTTCAGGGGTAAAGGATCCTCTACATTTTTTGCAGACCACCCAAAATCCTTTGGTAGGCCACAGGTTGTACAGGCCTGTGCTAGTGGAACCAATACAGGAGGATATTTACAAAGTTCAGACCCCCAAAGTAGAATATCATAAAGCATACAAATTAAAAGTGATATTCAATTTTTGCTGTTAACATTAAGAAGAAAAGCATGATGCTGACTTTGAAGCCAGGAGTACCTGGATTCAAATCCTGCCTCTGACATACTGGCTTTGTGACCCTGGGCAAGCCACTTAACCTCTTAGTGCTGTCAACAATTCTAAAAAAACAAGAGTTGCAGAGAAAGTACAGGCCTGCATTGGTCAGAGAGTATTCCATTTATTAGTGAAATCATAGTCAGTCCCTAAGCCTATTATTAAGATAGCATTGTTCTTAATTAAAAAATATATAACTAGTACAGGAGGATTGGACCTCGAGTTAACTGACATTTAATTTTATAATAGAGAATATATTTCATGTAGAAACTTATCATAAATTATACATTAATTATATAATCATCTTAGCCCCGAGAATACTATGCAGAGGTATCAAACTTGGGACCCAAACCAAATTAAAATATAATTGAGAAATGTTTAACAAAATAAATAAAAATACAGTGCAACATAAATAATATTAATATATGGTTTCCTAAGTCATTATGCAGCTATAGGGACCTATTTCTGTTTTGAGTTTGGCACCACTATACATGATAAAAGAGCAAAATAAATGCGAAATATCTAAAAGTTGTATTAAATGGTTAAAATTTTGTTTTATTTTCTGATTTTGTTTTGTTTTTGGTTTCAGTCTTGAGCACAGAAGCAGGGAGTCTCATGGCTGTTCTGAGGTATGAATAAGCATGTTAACTATTTTCCCATAATGTACTTAAAAACATTCTTCTGTATTTCTATTTGAGGTATGATTATCACTATCTTTCTCTTTTATAAAGAGGCTGAATAATAGGAATTAAGAATTTTAATTTCTTTGTTTCCGTAATATCAGATAAAATTTAACCAGATAAAGAAATATATGAAAAACTGGTTTTATTTTTTTTTTCACTGAGGTTCATTTTACGATAAGTTAATTTTTTATACGTTGGCATGTACAGCTTTTTGTGATCATGCTTTTTGTGCATGTACAAATTAAAGAGTCCAACCTTGAAATTATAGGATTTCAAAGTTGGAAAAAACCTTAAATATCATCTAGTGAAACCCATCATTTTCAGATGAGGAAACTGAGGCTTAGAGAGGTGACTTGACTTAGCCAAGGACACATAGTGGCAGAGTTAATCAGAACCCAGGTCATCAGACTTTCTTCATGACTTCTTACACTATGCCATGCTGCATGTCTACTTAAAGATTTGGACCCTATGTTTACCTTTGATGAGATCCACAATAAAGCAAATGGCTTTTTATTGACCCAGATCTATTCAGATTTGTTTTTTTTTTTTTTCCACCTAATAGCAGGATACTGTGAAAAGATGCAAGGAAGTAAATTTTTAGAAACTGATTTGGTCTCTATGTAGCACAGTATGAAAACAGATAAACAATGAGAAATAAAGTTTTTGATCTGGGTATTCTATGTGTATATATGCCACATGAGTACAGATTTTAGAAACACCTAGATATTTGATGAAGTTTTTCACTGTATGATCTGTTTCTCAACAGATATTTATTGAAGGCTTCTATGTACAAAACAGCATGTTATATGTTCAATACCAAAAAGTCTAAGGTTTTAGTTCTTACCCCAAGAAATTTATGGTCGAGTGCAGAAAAAAAGACAATTAAGTTCTCTTTCATAAGAGGAAATAGCAACAGTGCAGGCAGATGAGTGCTGCTTCTATAGACTGTAGGACCTGAGACAGGATTCTTTCTGGATGTCCAGAACAAGGTGACTGAGTTAGTACATACTATATACATAGCAAATAAAAAAACTTAAGAAAACGAAACACTTTCATAAATGCTAAGTGAATGGTACAGTCAGTAAAAGCATATATGAATAAGTGCTTTTCTTTGAATGTGTAGCATTATGTAGACAATTAAGGTGCAGCAATATGTGTTGCATACAGACTTTCTTCATTTATACAAGTGAAGGATAGATAGATCAAAATTTGACCCTCAAAAGTTATGGGGTAGCTCTTTATATGGAATATAAATATTAGCTCACTTACTGCAGTCATGAAGTTTTTCATAGTTATGATATTCATTTAAGATTTTAAAACATTTAAAGAATAAAAATAAAACATCACTTTCATTAATTACATTTAGAGTATTCACTTTGGGAAGAATAAAATTCATATGTTTTTCCTAAGCAGCTTATAAATCAGTCTGTGTTGATCTATTTTCTCTCATACAATTTAATATCTATAACTATATCCTGACTGTGAATCCAAGTATTAAGTAATGAAAGCAGAACATATGTTGGTAGAACCATCATAGGAGGTTGTTAAGAAATCCAGAGCCCAAGGTGGAAGCATTGAGATGGAAAAAGGCTCTTTGGCTGCCTGTTTTTTTCAGCCAGTGTTTTCCTAAATCCATCTTAGAGATTTGGCCAGTGCTTACTTTTGAGCCACAGTGAGGAGTAGCTTCTTTGTCCTATCACCTCTTCTGTTTTTATGAAGGGATAGCTTAATATATGGGATATTGTATTAAGTTCATTATACAATGAAATAGAGTTTTATAGTGGTATACGTATAATTACATATTATATGTATACATATAATTATGTTTTTTTTAAATTACATAATTAAAAAAATTAGACACTGGGTTTAATCTGGATGGAGGAGAACAAAACCAATATAGCTAAACAAAAGAAGAAGGTAATACAAAATTGAGCTTAATTTTTTTTTTTTTTTTTTGCTTTTTTTTTGGTGAGGCAGTCAGGGTTAAGTGGCTTGCCCAGAGTCACACAGCTAGTTAAGTGTCAAGTGTCTGAGGCCAGATTTGATTAATATTTCCTTTAGCTTAGTTATCGTATATATACATATACAATAGCTGGTTATTGTATTCTTATTTTAGTCTTTGAGAGAACTTGAAAAAGGTTAGTGTACCAAGCTAGTTAGTCATTCATTACACAAACATGTGTGTCTCTTCAAAAACATTCTCCTGGTTGCTTGAAATCAGTAGAAGTTTATTAAGCATCTCCTTGGTGCGTAGTAATTTAACTTATTAGATCTAAAAAGATATGGCATCTCCCTTCCAAGAACTAAAATCTAAAATATGAAATAAGCATACAAATGTGATCCTGACAAAAAGATGACATTTATGAAAATAATAAAGTCATTGCTATAATTAATGCAATATTAAAATTATTTCTTCAAAATAGATTTGAATAAAATCTAATTGCCTGTCATTGTTAAATTACAAGGACATTTTTCCCTCTCTATATTTCTAGGTGAACATAAAAAGTGAGAGATTGAAGACTGATGACCATTCATCTTACCCATGTTCATACAAGGACTGCAGTGGAAGAGAGCTTGTGCCAGTGTTATGTCCCTTCTGTGAGAAGAATTTTTGCCTGAGGTGATGATTGGACCCTTCAAAGATTGTAGGTATTTTTAAATTCTGTGCAAGTTTGTAAACCAACCAGTATCTACTCTTCTGTACTGTGTAGACACCGGCACCAGTCAGACCATGAATGTGAAAAGCTGGAAGTTCCTCAGGCTCGGATGGCTGCCACACAGCAGCTTGTTAAAGAAATCATAGGTAAGGTCTAAAGAATTTGGTTATGCTGATTTCTTTTACCTTGCACACTTGCTATTTCCAAAGCTCTTGCCTGCTTCATGAACCTTCTCACAGTCAGTCAAAAAACCTTTGTTAAGCACTGGCAGAAAAGCAAAAAACACAGTCCATACTGTCATGGAGCTGACATTATAGTGTGGAAGACAGCATGCAAATAACTTAGGTGTAAACAGGATATACATTGTAAGTGGAAGATGATTTCAGGAGGAAAAGGACTGGGAACGGCCTGCTACTGAAGGTGAAATTTGAGCCAAGTCTTGAACAAAGGAAGCCAGGAGGCAGAGGTGAGGAGGAAGAGAATTCTGGGCATAGGGGAAGCCAGTGAAAATGCACTGAGTTGGGAAATAAAATGTCTTGTTTGAGGAACAGCAAGGAGGCTGGGGGAGGGGAGGAGGGGAGAAGTAGTAAGGAGGGTATAGGAAGACTAGAAAGTAGGGATGTGAAAGGCTTTACAAGCCAGAGGAGTTTATGTCTGATCCTGGAAGTATTAGGGAGCCACTGGAGTTTACTGACTAGGTGATGCAAACCTGTGCTTTATGAAGACAACTTTGGCATCTGAATGGAGAGTAGACTAGAGTTGGGAGAGACTGGAGGCAGGGAGACCAACCAGCCAGCTATTGCAGTAGTCCAAATGTGAAATGTTAAGGGCTTACACCAGGGTAGCGGCTGTGTCGTAGGAGAGAAGGGGGTATATGTAAGAAATTTGACTCAAATGCCACCTTCTGCCTGAACCCTTTTCCTGGTCATTCCTAATGCTAATGCCTTTCCACTGAGGTTACCTTGTGTCTGTTTTATATATACCAATATATGTGCATGACTCCCCCTATAATTGGAGCTTCCTGTTAAGCTTTCTTCTTTGTATCCCCATCAGCTAGTAAAATACCTGGCACTTAGTGGACGCTTAATTAAATCACCACTAGATGTTTCCTAGAAGTGGGACTTCTGATTAATTCAAAATTGCATGGAATTATCCTTTTCATTTTATCCTTCATGAGCTGCTTAGTTTGGTTGAAATTTCACAGGCACAGAATTTGAGAGTTGGAGGGATCTCAGTGTTACATGGGGCTAGAGATGGTACTGTGGAAAGAGATTGGAATTAGAATCAGAAAACCAGGCTTCAAATCCCAGCTCTGCCCCTTAGGTCCTGTGTGACCTTGGATAAGTCATTTAGCCTCCGGGAGCCTCATTCTTCATCTCTAAAATGAGAGGGTTGGATTAGATGACCTCTGAGGTTCTTCCCCATCCTAAATATGTAATCCTGTCATCCGTAGTTTGGGATGCCATTCTGAAGACCATACAACCCTGGCTAACCAGATGCCTTCCAGGATCCATTGTTCAGAAATGGAAGTAGGTGAGAAGTATGGATGAGTCCGTATAAGCTATCCTTGAGGAGGAGGATGATGATGATGATGATGATAATCATCATGGTAATAGCTAACATTTACATTGTGCTTTAAGATTTGCAAAGCACTTTACAAATATTACCTCATTTTATCCTCAAAGTAATCCTGGGACGTAAGTGCTATTATTATATTCATTTTACAGATGAGGAAACTGAGACACAGTGAGGTTAAGTGACTTACCCAGGGTCACACAACTAATAAGTGTCTGAGGCCATATTTGAACTCGGGTCTTCCTGACTCCAGGTCTAGAATTCTATACACTGCAAAAACATAGTATATATTTTCTTTGTTTATTAAATAAAGTATATATTTTCTTTATCTTTCCCATGTTACTAAATACGGATCATATTCTTTAGAAATGAAAAAAGACACATTACGGGCAAAGCTCAGCGGTGCAGTAGATAGAGCACCACCCCTGGAGTCAGGAGGACCTGAGTTCAAAGCCGGCCTCAGACACTTGACACTTAACTAGCTGTGTGACCCTGAGCCAGTCACTTAACTCCATTGCCTAGCAAAAAAAAAAAAGAAAAAAGGCACATTAGAGTTCATCCAGCCACCTCATTTTATGGGTAAGGAAACTGAGAATCAAAGAGATTAGGTGATTTTCTCAAAAGCACATGGGCAGTAAATTAGCCAAGGCAGAATTTGAACCCAGTTCCTTGGACTTCAGATCCACTGGACTTTCCACTACAGGAGAATATGCAGAAATGCAAAGTTTCTGCTTTGTGCAAACTCTCCAGGTATTCCTGGGCAAGATGAAGAAGCCTTCAGTAGAAATTTTCCCCAGTGGTAGGTTATGCCCTCACCACCTTGCCTAGTAAGTGCAGTATCTTTAGTTTTTAAAAAGGTATTACGGACTGTATTTGTGGATGATTCTTGGTGTTTTAATTTATCATTAGGCACTTGTAATAAAACTAGAAAATATAGCCTATGATAATTTCATCAGGTGCTAATTTTCTTATTTTTCAGATTCTAAGAAAGGAACAGCAATAAGCAGAGGTCGCAGAGGTGCAAAGAACAGTGAAACTGCAGCAAAAGTTGCACTGATGAAATTAAAAATGCACGCTGATGGAGATAAATCTTTGCCACAGGTTGGGCTTCGGTGTTTTAAAAATGTGTTACTCCATTATAGCAAATCTTACAATCTTATTAAACTTCAAAGGGGTGTGTGTGTGTGTGTGTGTTCGTCCGTCCGTCCATGTCCGTGTCTGCGTGTTCAGCAAAGGGAGAAGGTGTCCATATTTAACCCAATTGAATTTTATTTTATCTATTTTTATTATTTTATTATTTTATCTACTTTAAACTAAATGGCCCTATTTCCAGGACTTGAACTTTTTTGTTAAATGGATTTTTGTTATAGCAATAATTAACTTTACATATAGACATTTCTTGAATGTAAGGTGTGTGTTTTTTTTTTAATCTAAGTTGAATTGTGTAGCAGTATGTTTAGAAGTCTTGAGATCTGGGTTCTATTTGTAATACCTACAGCAAATGAGGGAGGCAGCAGGGGTGTATAGCCTGGGAATCAAGAGTTTGAATCTGAGTTTTGCTCTTAATTCTATCTGTATTTGGACAAATAGTGAAACTTCTCTGGACTTCAGTTACCCCACTAAAAAAAGTAGGGGTTGTATTTTGACTTCTGAGGTTCTGTTCAGCACTAAGATTTTATGACTCTCTGTTCTTTCCCTTAGGGTACAACAGGTACATTCCCACAGAGCTGGTTACAAAATGAGTTTCTATGAAGTGAACCCTACTTAATCTCTGATATGCTTTATAGAATCAAAGATGAGCTCATTGAATGAAATGAAAGTTGTTGGCTTACATTTTCTTTTTCGTTTTTGCTTTGAAAAGAGAGATGTCACCTTTTTTCAGAGTAACTTTAATAAGTCATTAAAAGTCTAGAAGAAAAATAAAAGTCTAGAGGGAAGGGCACCTTGACTCCCATTATTTCTCTGCTGAACGCTTGATAATCACTAACAAAAACCCTTGATGCATTGTCACCTTCCCTTTATCTTGGTGTTGGTATTTACCAAGTTGTCTCTTTTTTCCCCCTCTTCTTGGCTCCAAATCACTATTGCCCCTTATTTTAAAAGTAGCATCCTCTTGGCCAAGAGAAATGCATAATGTGTATTTTTTTTTTTACTTTATTTTTGCAGACAGAAAGAATTTACTTTCAGGTATTTTTACCTAAGGGGAGCAAGGAGAAAAGCAAGCCCATGTTCTTTTGTTATAAATGGAGTATTGGCAAGGCGGTGGATTTTGCAGCTTCATTAGCCAGCCTTAAAAATGAGAACAACAAAGCAACGGCCAAGGTAGTGCTAACTGATTTGTAGTAATTGTCATGTGAAAATTGGTAGATTACTTTCTTCAAAGTGCAATTGCTAATTGTAGTCCTATTGTTTCTTTTACAGAAATTAAGATTGTGTAACATTGCAACAGGAGAAGCCTTACCTTCAGATCAATCTTTGGACACATGGATTACTAAGGAAGATTGCCCTTTATATAATGGTGGAAATATTATCTTAGAATATCTTAACAACGAAGAACAATTTTTGGAAAATGCTGATTCTTACTTAAAGTAGCCATTCAAGGACAACCCACAATTATTAGGAAAACAATACATTTAAAAATTAATTTATTAAATATTAACACCATGTACTCTTCAAAGAAAGGTACTTTTAAGCTTAGTTCAACTATGACAGTGATACATTATTTAATGAGTTTTTATATAAAGTATTTTTGTAATTATGCTAAAAATTATGATAAAAGTAATTTTGGGCTGAAAACCAAATATCAATAAATTCAAGTAAAGCATTACTGTATACATGTACACACAGATAGCACATAGGTCACTTCCTATGATGGATAGTAGTTCTTTATCTAAAACTTCATCAGAAGAAGTGGTAATAAAAGAGGAAACATAGGAATAATAATAATAGTAATAACTGTTTTAAAGTTTGCAAAGTGCTTCATAATATATTACCTCATTTGAGCCTTATAATAACCCTGCTGGCTCAGGCTGGGGGTGGTAGGAATGCCAAATATTGGGGGTGGGGAAGATGTTGCTGTACAAAATCATCACTAACTATTAAAGTTCAATGCGCCAGAAACAGTGCATGATGATAGTCTTGAGGGAAGGAAGGGGATTGTGGAATAAGATTAAAGGATGGGAAGAGAGGAGATGAGAATTCCAATTTAATATACCAAGAGGAGAGAGGAGCAGAAGGGAAAGGTATAGAGGAAGAGAAACTTCCAGTATATAAATCTGTGTTAAGACAGAGGTTGGGTTTCACAAGATTTGTGGCAAGAGCTTAATAGTTTTTATTAAATTCAGTGTAAAAAGGTTGATTTAATAAAAATCTGCTTTTATATGCCTGTTTCAAAAGCTAGACATTTAGTCAAAAGAACACTAGCATAAAATGTGTCCACTTCTACCCTCAAGTACTTGCTCTCTCTGCAGCCTTGGGCAAATTAATTCACAATCATCTTTTTTTTTCTTTCTTTTTTTTAGTTTTTAGGCAATTGGGGTTAAGTGACTTGCCCAGGGTCACACAGCTAGTAAGTGTCAAGTGTTTGGTCTGAGGCCAGATCTGAACTCAGGTCCTCCTGACTTCAGAGCTGGTGCTCTATCTACTGCGCCACCTAGCTGCCCCCCACAATCATCCTGACATTCATTTTTCTCATCTATAAAATGGGGTTGCCCTCTGCCCCATGCCATTTTAAGTATCCAGTGAAACAGTGGAAAGGGTTTTTTGTTTTATACTTACCACAGAATATTGTGTAAACTGAGGCTTCATGGTATAGGGGAAGGTGAATCAGGAAGCTCAGATGCGCACTACCAAGCCATGTGGTCTTAGAAGATTATTTACTTGTTCTAGGTCTTACTTTACTAATTTTTACAATGAGGAAGTTGAACCAAGTAATCCCTTAGCCCTGCGTCCAGCTCTAGCACTTTAAAGGCAACATTAGCACTATGTATTGCAGCTTTAGTACAATGCCTCAGGTGGAGATGAGGTCATCTTGTTGGGGAAGAGGAAGATTTATCATTGTATTTCCCGAACTGTTTGCAACCAAGTCATCCTAGAGGATTTAATGAGATGTATGTTCAGGGACAACAGTCAAACACAGAATCTCAAAGGGACCTCAGTTTATCTCATCCAATCCATAATTGAATAGAAGTCCTTTCTACAGTATCAGTTCAGTTCAACAATATTTAAGTCGTTACTTTGTGCCAAGAATAGTGCTTAGTGCTGGGGCAACAAATACAAAAACAAAACCATTCCAGTCCTTTTAAGGATCTTGGAAGGCAGGTTTTTTTTTTTTTAAATCAAATATAGCAACTGAGGGTATTTCTAGTGGTTACTGACTCAGCCTTGATGCTCGCCTCGCGCTCAGCACCTTCAGTTGCCTCTCCCCTCTGACTGGAGGGCAGAGCAATGAACTACTCTCAAGACCTCCCATTATAAAGGGCTCACATCTTAGCATCATTTTCTGTCAGCTGCTTTACTTGGTTTCAACTCTATGAACATCATATCCTGGCACTAGGTACCTGTTCATGGTCCCCTTCCTCTCTCCTCCTTTTAGCTCCTTTATATATATATGTATATTAACTATTGATTATTGAGTTCCCTGTCACTAGTGGTATTCAAATGTAGGTTGAATAACCATTTGTCAGAAGTGGTGCAGATGGAATTAATGCTTTCAGTAGTGATTGAACCAGACCACTTTGCCCAAGATCACAGAGCTGGTTTGTAACAGAGCTCAGACTACATCAGACAACAAAGTATCCTAGAAAATGAAGTTCTGGAGGTGGAAGTCATGTCCAGAGGCCAACAGATCGTTGGGAGTTCTCTCCAAGGTTTCAGCCAATGAACCCAGGGACCAGTTGTCTGTGTTTCTGAGTCTGGAGATCACAGAACAGGTAGTGACTACTGTAATAACAATAATGGTGATGATAGGTAAAATTTATATAGTGCTTTTTAAAGTTTGCACTTTGCAAACCTTAAAACAGTACCTCTTGATTCTTACAACATCCTTGCAGTCTCCTATGGAATAACATCAACTATACCTTCTCACTGGCAGGTAGGTTCTCAGTGCCCATTTGTCTGCCCCAGCTGCCTTGTTTACCTTTTTCCTCCTCCTGTGTTGCTAATTCCCTTTCTGTTTACACCTGTTTTTCTTTCTTTGTTCATGCTTCTGTCCTACAAGCCTCATTGTTCCCGGTTGCAGTTAGAAATCTAAATTTACTCTTCCTACTCAAATTTTAGGTCCCTTTTTAATTGTGTAGATTGTAATGTCTGCAAATGACTATGTTCAAACAGAGTTCCAAAGAGAGCTGTGAAAACATTGTAACTTTGGTCTAAGGACAGATTTTTTTTTTGCCTGATGCCTTGAAAAAGTAGACTTAATTTCTTTGCAAGAGAGAAAGGGTTACAGTTAAAGGTCCTGGCCACTAGTGTTTAAAGTGGAGACAACTGTGAAGCAGTTTCTTATTAACCCACATTTGTGAGGATCTGCTGTGTGTCCAACACTACTGTACATACTGGGTGCATCAGCAGATACTAGTGGACAAACTATTGTACCGTATTTCACCGTACAATCGTCCCAGATTTTGTGCCAGATTTTTTTTTTGCAGAAAAAGGATACAACCATTATGTGAAGCTTTAAAAAAAATGCTAGTGTTACTTGTCTTTTAGTTTCCACCAGTCTTACACCAACTTTTTACTCACTGAAAAATGTTTTCATGCTGTTCAACAAACACAATCACTTTTAGCTTGAAGCCCATGAATACTTTTTATATTTACCCATAATCAGAAAGAAATGCTTCTCCCATAAATATATCACTGTCATATGAACTGTACAGTTTAGCTAGTGTGGGAAGATTCAAGTCTTACTATATCATGTGACTTACTCATGGCAGCTTCACCTGCCTGCCTGCCCCTGTTGTACTTCATTGGGTTGAGTGACAATGCCCTTAGTACTACAGCTCTCTAAACAAACCACACAAGCTGGCTTTTGGAAATATACTGACATTGTGGGTGGGCTGAGAATTCTAGGTTCGCAGCTTGCAATGTGTGAGAAATAAATGCATATCCATATGCCACTGGTGAATACATTGCTGCTCTGTTTACCTTTTAAACGGCATGACAAACAGAATTATACTATGTAACAATTACAGCAATGAAAGGTTGTAAACAAAATTTTGGACAGAAACATCCCCCACCCCACCCAAAAGAGCGATGATTATGCAGTAAAACGAATGCTCTTCCTTCCAAGGAACTCAGCTTATTTGGAAAAAAGACACTAGCTTATAAAGACTATCATACAAATTTATAAAGACTGTCATATAAAATCATGTGACTTAAAGGCTATAAATGCTGTAGGAATTCAGAGAGGAAAACCAATGGAACCTGGAGTTATTGGGTAGGCTTCTTGTAGGATAGAGGACTTCAGCTGGTCTCTGAAAGGAGTCAAGATTAGAGGAACAATATGAAGAAAGGCATAGAGCCAGGATTGAGTGTAAGGTATTTGTGCGTAAGTGAGGGGATCAGACTAGAGGGACAAAGTAGGGGAGGGAGAGACAGTTCAAAAGTTAAATGATCCCTTCACTCAGAGGATGAGGGAGAATTCATAGAGAATTGATAAATTCATGAGGTAACTCAGTATTCATGTGTGCAGCACCTCACTCCAAAGGAGGCCTCTCATCTCCGTTGAGTTCTGTCTACTTACTCCAGTCTGGCACATTTGTAGGAAGCACCATTTCCCTTTGTCTCCATTGAGTATAAAACTTCAAAGCCTTCAATATTTTTGCCCCATCTGAGAGCTAAGCTATTGTCTCTTTGGCAGGAGTTACTGGGCAGCTTCCTTATGAGCCAGAGAAAGGGATCCAGAGAGCTGGCGGCAGGGAGACTTGAGTTCAAATCCAACCTTAGATACTTACTAGCTGAGTAAGTTATTTAAACTCTGTTGCCTCAGTTTCCTAAATTGTAAAATGGGATAGTACCTACCTCCCAGGATTATTGTGAGGACCATATGAGATAATGTTTGTAAAGCACTTAGCATAGTGACTGGCACATAGTAGGCACTATATAAATGCTTATTCCTCCTTCCCACATGTTCTAGGACACAATGTAGTTTGTGGCTTCTCTCTGTCATAAACTAGCAGATTGATTTGGGGCAAATCACTTAACTCTTTTAGGTTTCTGTTTTCTCATCTAGAAAATGAGGTTGGGTTAACTGACCTTTAAAACCTTACAGCTCAAAAATTCCATGATTCTGATGCTATTGTGCAGGAAATGCGCATAAATTTGGGGGAGCCTCATTCCAGAAATTTGTAATTAGGGTCTGCTGCATATGATTTTTAAAAGAAAAATTTACTCTGAAGGTGCTCAGAAAGGGCCTATTGGAAGAAGGTGTAGGACCCACTGGAGGTTTCAGAATATGCAGCATAAGACTTTAGAAAGAAGCAACCTTTAGATCAATAACTGAAATCAGCTGATTCCTCGAGAATCACTTTTTTTTTTTAAGAATTTCTTTTTTTTTTTTTTTCTGGTTAGGCAATGGGGTTAAGTGACTTGCCCAGGGTCACACAGCTAGTAAGTATTATGTGTCTGATGCCGGATCTGAGCTCAGGTACTCCTGAATCCAGGGCCAGTGCTCTATCTACTGCGCCATCTAGCTGCCCCGAGAATCACTTCTTAATGCAGAATCTCAAAACCATTTTGCTTCCACCCAGGGTTTCCCCTGGCATGTCTAGACTTCTGCAACAAAAGAGAAAAGGCTGGCAGTTTCCAGCTTCCTAACTGATGTAGTGGATAGTGCATCAGACTTGGAATCAGGAAGACCTGAATTCAAATCCTGCTACAGACACCTACTATCTATGTGACCCCGGGCCTCAGTTTCTTCACCAATAAAATGGGTTGGACTTGATGTCTCTCATGCTCTTCTTCTCCCTCCTCACTCTACCTCCTGGCTTCCTTCAAGACCCAGTTAAAGTCCCACCTTCTGCAAGAAGCCTTTCCCAGATCTTTTTAATATCTTTCTTTGATCTATCCTGCATGTATCTTGTTTATACATAATTGTTTGCATGTCACCTTTTTGTTAGACTGTGAGCTCTCTGAGAGCAGGACTATCTGACTTTTCTACTTGTATCTCCAATGCTCAGAACAGTGTCTGGCACATTGTAGATGCTGAATAAATGCTAGATGACTGACTGATTGACTTACCCTACATCCCTTTTAGCTCTAAATCTATGATCCTATGATCCCAAGTGACCATTCAGCCTAACAACATATTGAATCAATGAATGGTCAAAACAACTATCCTCTCTCAACTGGGTCTCTACTTTCTCCAGGGACTTAAACAATCCTTTAGATAGATGCTACTACCCTAGGGTTGAGAACATCCCAAACAATGTGAAAGTAGTTAGGGTTCATAGAGAATGGAGTAACCCCCTCTTACTCCAATTATCCAGGTATTTCTTCCCACAGTATAGTACCCTATGGTTGAGATGGTCTCTAAAAAGAGAAAGCACTCAGAACAAGTCAGCCTCCCAGTCTCCTAGATGTGCACAACTTCTCCTAGTATACCTAGGTTAACCATACAATCTTCCAAACTTGTGGCACTTTCCTGGGGTTAAAGGAAATTTGTGATCCTCACAACAAACCTAGGAGGTAGGTTCTAATGGTATTATTATCCCCTGTTTGAAGATAAGACTTAGAGAGAGTATATGGCTTGCTCATATTCACATAGCCAGTAAGGGTTGGTGGTGGAACTCTAACCCAGGTCTTTCTTGACTCCAGTGACCTTTCCTTCACACCACATTGCTTTTCAGATCACATTAGCTTTTCTGGCAGTCATGTCACACTATTGCCTCATATTAAGTTTTCAATCCACTAAAATAGTTATTTGTGTTACATCTTGCACTAATGAAATTTATTTTTTCTAACCTGAGCATAAGTCTTTACATTTGTCCTTATTACATTTTGCCATATTAAATTTGGACCATCATTCCCACCTAGATCTTTTTCAGTCTTAACTGTAATTATATGTGTTAAATGTATTTCCTAGATTCATGCCTACTTGTGTTAAGTCAGCAAGTATTTATTAAGTGCTTCCTGTGTGTGCCAGGCACCGTGTTAAATGCTAGGAGTATAAAATATGTTAAGAAAGACAATCCCTTTCCTCAGGGGCCTTACATTCTAATGGGGGAAGACAACACATAAAAGGGGAGGTAAGAAGGAAAGGCGGGTGGCGGTGGGAAGACTGTATCTGGGGCAGGGATATGGTAGCCAAGTATAGAAATATGGGATAGCTGGTCTGGGCCCTTCCCCAAAATGGAAGTTCAGGGAAGAAATAAAAAATGGGAGAAGTGACATGTAGGAGCAAAGTCAAGAGGCAGTGGAAGCACACTGGTGTAGTCTGGAATACTACAGTGTGTCGATTGTGAATTTAATAACCATGCCATGTATGCCTTCATTTAGGCTGCTGCTGAAAAGGGCTAGTATATGCTTCAACAGGTACTACAAAGCAGGAAAGGATTTCATTATTGGACAGATGATGTCTAATGACTCAGGACTAGCCCAGCTAAGTTTGGAGAGGTTCATTTCCAGAGAGTTGAATATGTAGTGATGATGGGGATTATTTTGGCCACAGCAATTGATGAAAACCAGCTACTAAGGTTTAAAGAAGTTTCTATCTATGTTCATGGGCAGCTAGGTGGCACAGTGGATAGAGCACTGGGCTTGGAGTCAAGAAGATCAGAATTCAAATCCAAACACTTCTTAGCTGTCTGACCCTGGGCAAGTCACTTAACCTTGTTTGCCTCAGTTTTCTCATATGTAAAACGAGCTCAAGAAGGAAATGGCAAACCACTCCACTATCTTTGCCAAGAAAACTGCAAATGAGGTCACAAAGAGTTGAACACAATTGAAGTGACTGAATAACAATCTCTGTGTTTGTGGAGAGAAGTATCCTCACTGTTGAAATCATGTCTTTGAAATATATTCTAGATATCCATTAAAATTTGTGATGAGATCAAATTATTTCTTATAGACGTTGAACAGTTAAAAATACAGTCTGAGTGAGGCCTAGAGGACCCTGCCTGCAGAGGAAGGGGCTTTGAGCCTTCATGAATCCAGATTCATCCCAAGTTGGTAAATGAGACTCCAGGTCCAGGGGAGGGGGTAGACTTTTTTCACTTTCTGACTTGTTGCCTTTTATCTGGAGGACTCTGGAGAAATGCTGAAAACAAAGCTTAGCTATGGCTCAGGTGTAAGGCCCACCACTCCCACCTCCAACCACCTATCCAAAGTGACAAGACATAGTGATATAGTCTGGAGAATTACAGTGTCAATTGTGAATTTAATATATGCCTTTAAGCCATTGCTAAAAAATAATTTAAAAAAAGGTTCCCTTTTTTTTTCCTAGAAGAGAAAAGGGTCCCTTCTAGAAAAGGTAGAGTTCTTCCGGGATCTAGAATCATAGGACATGGGTTCCAATTCTGACTTTGCCACTTACTATTCTCTGTCTGACCCCAACTTGACCTGACCACTTAATATTTCTAGCCCTCAGTTTCCTCAGTTTTTACAATTTTTCACAAATCAGAAGGTTGAACTAAGTGACGTCTGAGGTGTCTTCTAACTCTAAATCTTGAGCATAGGAGCGTTGAAGTTACTGATGATGTCTCTCATGAAAAGGGCAAGGATTCTAGCACAGCATGGACTGCATTTGCTGTAGGATGAGGGATAGCTTGGGAAAGGGCATGAAAGGTGGAGGAGGGAATTGGGATTCTTTAGTACTGAGATGGCATAGGAAAAAGTAGCAGGACAGAGTCATTGGGTGAATGATGATGGTAAAGTTGTGAATAATATGTGTTTGCAATGGTGAGTGAACAGAGAAGGGAAATTCTCACTGGCAGTAATAGTGAGAAGGGAAGAGGACATCCTATGACTATTTCATGTGTCATCTTTGAAGATAAATCCTCAGCAGGATAGCCATTTATATTTATAACTGGATAAATTCATATGGGGTGTGTGTGTGTGTGTGTGTGTGTGTGTGTGTGTGTGTGCGCGCGCGCGCGCCTAGTCAGGGCTGCCTGCCTGTACTTGAAATGCTTTCTGTTGCTATGGACCTGATCAGGATTCTCACCAGGGGTGAAGCATATGTCTTAATGAAAAATTGCTAAAACTATCCAGTTATGCTGGTTTTTTAGTTTTTTAGCTGCACGCCTAATTTTTTGATCTATTTCTTCTTTCTTTTGTTGATCAATGTATTTAGAGGTCTACATTTTTCTCTAAGGATATCCATTGCTATGTACCTCAAAAAGTTTTGGTGTATTATTTTTTATTGTCATTTTCATTGATTAAATTTCCTAATGTTTCTGTGGTTTGTTCTTTGACTCACAAAATCTTTAGGATTAAGTTATTTAGTTTCTAATTAAATTTTAATCCTTTCTTCAAAAGTCACTTACTGAATATAGTTTTTATTTTGTTGTGGTCAATAAAAATATGTTCAATATTTCCACTTTTGTTTGTAAGGTTTTTAAGGTAGGTATATTTACTAAGATTATGTTACATTGTAAGAAACTAGAATTGCTAAAACACCCCTTTTTTTATTTAACAAATTACTTCAGGTTAAACAGGTTATATCACCAGATACCCTTACGTTTACTTGAAGAGCCCAGGAGGTTATTATCCTCTCTTTTGCTGAACTTTGGTCCAGCAAAATCAATTCATTATTTACCTTAACTTAAAGCAATCAGGAACTGGAATACTGGAAAAGATTAAATTCTTTCTTAAATCTGAGCCATTTTTCCTGGTCTGAAAGCTACAGAGAATATTATGTTTTCTAAAATGATTATAGAATTTTTAGTTTTGCAAATCTTGGGTATATCCTCAGGTGAAGTACGGAAACCATTTGCTCGTTTTCTGAGTCTAGACAAGACCAAAGTCCTGCTTTACACGAAGACAGAAGAAGCATTAATTGTGAGGTCAAGCTACAAGAGCAATGGGCCAAACAGCAGCTATCTTTCTGTATATTTAGAAGACCTGGAAGTGGCACAAGTGGTAAACGTGACCAAGATGTCCTCGGAGGTGATGAACTTTAAAATAAGCCTGCTGACAAAGAGAGAAGGTGAGACAAGTTTAATCATTCAACTATGGGATTCCGTAGGTGGGCAAGATAGACTAGTTGAAGAGATAAAAGATATTCAAATCAAGGTGATCTTCAAACCTAAAACTGAGACTCTCCTACAGGCACCTTTGCATTTTGACAGCTCTGCCCTAATGCTGATTTTACCAATGATACTGCTTAATAAATGTGCATTTGGCTGCAAGATTGAAGTGGAGACACTCCAGATTGCATGGAAGAAACCCTTGCCAATACTTCTTGGTGGAGCTATACAATTTTTTGTCATGCCATTCTGTGGATTTGTTTTTACTAGGATTTTGGCATTATCCCAGGCTCTCTCTTTCGGATTTGTCATGACTTGTACCTGTCCTGGAGGAGGTGGAGGCTATCTCTTTGCCCTGCTTCTGGAAGGTGATATCACTTTGGCCATTGTGATGACTTGTGCTTCAACATTATTAGCACTGATAATGATGCCTCTAAATTCATTTATTTATAGTAGAATGTTGGGGCTGCATGGTTCACTTCATATTCCTGTTTCTAAAATCGTGACAACCCTCTTTTTCATAGTTATACCGATATCAGTAGGCATAATCATTAAGCGGAAAGTACCTAAATGGGCAAGCTACCTAGAAAAAATAATTAAACCTTTTAGTTTTGTGTTAATGTCTATAGGGATATATTTGAGCTTCAGGATGGGATTAATGTTTGCAAGAACAATCAACTTGGAGGTATTTTCCCTGGGACTATTAATTCCTGCTTTGGGTTTGTTGTTTGGATATTCTTTTTCTAAAATGTTTATGTTGCCCCTTCCAGTTTGCAAAACAGTTGCTATTGAAGGTGGGGCATTAAATAGTTTCTTAGCACTGGCCATTATTCAGCTCTCTTTTCCACAACACAAGGCAGAGTTGGCATCAGTTGCTCCTTTTACAGTAGCCATGTGTTCTGGTTGTGAAATGTTGTTTATGATTCTATTATACAAAGTTAAGAAAATTACTGCTCTCAATGAAGATGAAAAACTAAACTCTTTTGTCTAATAAATTCTTATAATCATTTGACAAATATTTACTGAGCACCTGCCATGTATTGGTCTCTGAAGAAAATAAAAATTAATATCAGAAACAGTTCCAGCCTTTGAGAATCTATCAGTCTAGATAAGAGATAAGAGAAAAAGATAAGTAACACTACAAGACCTAAATGAGAAATGTCAAATACCTAGAACAGTGGGTAAAGGCTAAGAGAAATCAGAGGATGAGATTCTATAGGAATTCAGAGACAGAGCAATCACTTTCAGCTAAGTTTACCAAAAATCAAATCAAAAGAAAAGAAACCAGAATAAACAAACAAAAAAAGCCATAAAGTAAGGTAAGTAACTTAGTAATAAATGACTGACTTTATGATAAAACACTAGATAATCCAGTTGAATACCAGTCTAGGTAGTAGCTTTTCTTCCAGTTGGAGTGATCTTGAAAGGATAGATAGAAAGATGGGGTCTGAGCTGGACCCTTTTGATTCTCATCTCTATCAAAAGAAAGAATATTTTTTGAAATTTTGTCTAAATTAATCTTTTATCCTCTCATATTACCATAAGTCCCTACTATGTAAACATTTATATAGCCCTTTAAAATTTGTAAGTTACTTTACAAGTATTATTTCACTTTATCCTCGTAACAGCCCTGGGTGGTAGGTGCTATTATTATTTTCATTTTAGAGAAAACTGAGGCAGACAGAGGTTGAAGGACTTGCCCAAGATCATCCAGCCAAGTGTCTGAAGCCAGATCTGAACTTAGGTCTTCCTGACTCCAGGTCCAGCACTACATACACTGAGCCACATGCTTACCAAATGAAATAACATCCACCTTGGATCTTCTGCCTCAAAACTGTCCCTTTTTCTACCTTTCTTATATATCTGTAAATGATGCTGACTATTGTCTTTATCATCTAGGCTTGCAGTCTTGACATTATTCTTGCCTCTTCCCTCTCCCTCACTATTGCCATATTCAATCTATCTACAAATCCTATAGATTTTAGTCATGTGACATTTCTCATGGTCATCATTTACTTTTGATTTCCATGGTCATCACCACTCCACTTTGTGCTTTCATTAACCCTCATCTGGCTACAAGTCAACAGCCTCCTACAGTCATGGACTCTTGCCTGAAAACCTTCATTGGCTCCTCACTGCTTATCAAATAGAACCCTAAATCCTTAGTCTAGCATTCAAGACTGTAAGAACCTTCTATCTAGCTGTGTCTCCTTATTTTAATCCAAATTATTGCGTTACTCTGGGCTTTTGGGTCTCCACATCTTTTTGCTGCTGTCCTTTTTGCTTAGAAGGTATGATGACTTCAATATTTCTGTTAAAATTCTATCCATCCTTTAAAGCCCAAATCAAATCCCACCTCCTCCATTAAGCCATTCATCTTCCTCGGTACTCCAGCGACACTCTGTTTCTATTTTTCCTATGGCATTTAATGTAGTGGATAGTGTTGGAGTCAGAAGCACCTGGGTTCAAATCTATAGTTGTTGAATGAATGAGTGAACAGCATTGTTGTCATATATGAGTAAAAAATAGGATAGGGTCCATATTAAAGAATTTAATTTTCTGTAGGACAGACTCTGAAATTTTAGTGGGAGTAGTTCCTATCTATTTTCAGCTGTCTAGTTTCTTTCAAAGCATGTGGTTCTCAGTGTATGCTCATGTTTAAAACAATTCATATATTTAGTCATAGTCAAAAATGTTACCATTAAGTCTCTGCTGATTATTAAAATTTCAATTTGACAATTAGGGATGGTGTCAAGAACTTACAAATAGTTGCTGCTAACATCTTTTGCCATCTTACCCATAGAATCATGTGATTTTATTCCCAGCTTTCTCATCATATGACAAAAGAATCAAACACAACCATGGTTCCCATCTCATGTAACCATGGACCAGAGATTACTTATGTGCCCTACTTTAACTCAGTCAGTCAATAAACATTTATTAAGTGCCTACTGTGAGCCAGGCCTTGTGCTAAGTGCAGGGGATACAAAGAAATGTAAAAGACAGTCCCTGCTCTCAAGAAGCTCACAATCTAATCAAGGGAACAACATTTAAACAATTATATACAAAAAAGTTATATACAGTTGAAATAATCAACAGAAGGGAGGCACTAGGAATAAAGGGGATTAGGTAAGGCTTCCTGTGGAAAGTGGAATTTTATCTGGAACATGAAGGAGAAGCAAAGAGGTAGAGATGAGGAGAGAGATCATTCCAGACACAGGAGACAGTCAATGAAAACACCTAGAATCAGCAGATGTAGGGTCTTGTTTGAGAAACAACAAGGAAGTCACTAGATCTCAGAGTATGTGGGTGGGGGAAGTGCTTAAGGTATAAAATGACTGGAAAGAGAGGTAGGGCAGGTTATGAAGGAATTTGAATACCAAACAGAAGATTTTATATTTGATCTTGGAGAGGATGGAAAGCCACTAGACTTTATTGAGTAAGGAGGATGACACAATCAATCAGTCAGTCAATAAACAATTTTTAAGCACCTTCTATGTGCCAGGCACTGTGCACTGGGGATCCAAAAAAAAAAAAAAAAAAAAAGAGTCCCCAGCCTCAAAGAGCTTACAATCCATTGGGGGACCTGTACTTTAGGAAGATCACTTTGACAGCTGAATGGTAGATGGACTGAAGTGGGAAGAGACTTTTAGTAGGCAGACAAACTAGCAGGCTATAGTCCAGTTGTGAAATGATAAGGACATATATCAGGGTGATTTATACCAGTGTCAAAGTAGTGACTGGGCCATATTCCAGAGATGCTTCAAAGGTGAAATCAACAGGTTTTGGCAACAAATTGGATATTGGAGGTGAGGGTGAATGAGAAGTTGAGGATGACATACCTAGTTTTTGTGCCTGGGTGACTGAGAGGACGGTGGTGTCTTCAACAGTAAGAGAGAAGGTAGGAAGAGGGAAGGGTTTTGGGGAAAAAATAGTGAATTCAGTTTTGGACATGTTAATTTTAAGATTTTAGGATATCCAATTCAAGATGTCTAATAGGCAGTCAGAGATATAAGATACTAGACTGGAGGTCAGAAGAGATGTTAGAGCTAGACAAGTAAATCTGAGAGTCATCTGCATAGAGATCATAATTGAATCCATAGGAGCTAGTGAGATCACCAAGAGTAGTATAGAGGGAGAAGAGAAGAGGACATAGGACAAAGACCTAGGGCTCATCCATATTTAGTGGACATGACCTGGAGAAAGATCCAGCAAAGGAGACTGAGAAGAACTAGTCAGATAGGTTAGGAGAATCAGGAGAGAGTAGTATCATGAAAACCTAGAGTATCAGTGCCAAGAAGGATGAAGACTGAAAAAAGGTCATTATGCTGCAGTTTCATGGTGTGTTGTGGTGGCACCATCTCAAAGAATTCAGTCAGACCCTTCTACTCCAAGTATAGGCATTTATTGAGGATTGACGCCTCACAGAAGCAGGCTATGTTCCAAGAAGAACCAGAAACTTAGTAAGACAAAAAATTTATAGTGTAATGATGCGGATTACACAACAGAAATTATGAATATTAAAAAGGCAGGAGGGGTTTGTTAAGGGGTTAGGTAATGGAGAGGGGTCCCTTCTAGGGTTCGGTGGTCAAACATCCTGTTTGTACTGCTTTCTGATTGGCTAGCTATTGTGGTCCTTTCTGGTCAAGATGGATTATTAGGTATTGTGGTTCTGTCTTGGGCTAAATGGATGATGTGATTGTGGTTGAGTATAAGAACACACCTGTTCAAATATGTTAATTAGATCTGGGGGCAGTAGCTAGCTAGGGGCAGTGGCTATATTGAGTTTGGGGGCCTGAGGCAGGTTTGTGTGGTTAAATGAGGACATGCCTGCTGTTCAGTGGAGTCCATAAGGAAGTTAGAATGTTGAGGTTGGGGGCACCTTTATTAGGATTCCATCAGTTAGATTTGGCAACTAATAGATTCTTAAAGACTTTAGAGAGAGGAGTTTCCATTGAATGAATGAACACAAATTTAGGTTTATTAAAAGATAAGTAAATTAGAAGGTGATTATTCAACTTTCAAAAAGGATTACTAGTTTGCTTTATGGTATTCACCATAAAATTTCTTTAAATAACAAATTCTTTTTGTGTATGTAATTCAAATTACATACAGCTTTTCAGAAAAACATCTCATTGGACTGGAACTTGGAAAAATCTAATTACTATTAGGATTAGGTAATCTTTAGTGTTCCTTTCAACTCTATATTATATTATTTTTTGTGTAAAGAACTTATACCCCACACCACATTCTTAACTCCATGTTAATTTGCTAACATGTTAACTTCTTTGGCTGACCCCCATACCTGGAATGTTCCTCCTTTCTCACACTGCCTCTTGGCTTCCCTCAAGACTCAGCTCAAATCCTGTCTTCTTAGTTTTTCTTGCTCACCCTGAATCCTAACTGTTCACTGAATTCCTTCTGAAATTACCTTTCATTTACTTTGTGTCTATCTTGTGTATACATGACTGTTTGCATATTGTCTCCCCCCACTAGAATATGAGCTCTTTTGATGGCAGGAACTGTTTTTGCCTTTTTGTGTGTCCCCAGCCCCTTAACATAGTCCCTGGCACATAAGTGCTTAATAATAATAATAAAATTAATTAATTAAGTGCTTAATAAATGCTTAATAAATATTATTATGATTAATTGACTATACCAACGTTGGTATAGTAGAAAGGCCACTACTAGATTTGGAGCCAGAGATCTGGATTCCAATTCAGACTCTACCATACTCAAGTTATAATGTCTCTGGTCCTGTTTCCTCACTAATAAAATGAGGATGGACTAAATGATCATTAATAACATTCTAAAAGGGTATTGAATGGAGGGTGGTAAAGCACTGCTATCATCCTGAGTAGATCAACAAATCAGATGGTTATTTATGATTATGCACACTAAAAGCAATTTTCCACTTTAAGAAGCAGTTGAGTATCTAGGGATTGAACTTAAGACTTCAAAATATTTCAATTAATTTTATATTCTTTTATT